AAGAAAATTATCATGGCGCCGAAATTACAAACGTCAGCCAGAAAATTACTTTTTTTTCTTTTGCTTCATCTTGTCAGATCTTGTGTAGTTGGATCATGCTCCTGTTCAATCAACACCACGCTGTATTGCTGTTGTTGTAGCGGCTATTAAACCCCGCTCGGGTCCGTTCGTCCATCAACGTTGTTGTCTTTTTCAGCTAAGGGGAGGCCTAGGAAGTGCGCAACTTCAAGAGGGTCTGTCCATAGGGAAAGGGGCATTAGCTGCGTATTGATGAGCCTTGGTGTTGGCGACAAGGTTGGTTGGATCATTTGCTTTATAAGGTTATGTGTACCGCTAATTTAACCTTTAGGGCGAAGTTATATGGATATTCTGGAAACACTTACTACGTTTATACGCACAGAATAATCGACTTAATTGAAAGCGCATTGACACCGTATACATTTCGCTCTAGTGTTTATACTTACGGCTTTATATCGGCATCAAAGTAACCGTCTTCAAAAGCGAACAAAATTAGCTGTTTTCATTTGACATTTTATAAGTTAACATAGTGGAAAGTGATAAAAAATCTAGTTTTATTCGGCATTATAAAATCGTGGCAAAGAAAAAGAACGATTATTATTAATCAGCTTTTAAATACTGATCCGATTATTTGGAATTTGAGCGGAAAAGCTGATCTCCAATTCGCTTTGAGTGAGAGCGGTGTTTATACACTCTAACTCAAGGCGAATTTATATAAGGTGGTGTTACTAGCTCAGCTGATTTTGTGTATGTGTTTCGCCGCACGGCTTCTGATATCAAATTGAAAAATTTTGTTTGAATTCCTACACACACTCTTACAGATTTTGACAGTTTATGCCGCCAAAGCAAAAACAAAATACATGTAAATTTTTGTTTTTGTACTCCTGCTATCACCTTATATTAATTCGCCTTGCTCTAACTGTCTGGAGAAATAAACTACCGATTTGAAATGGAGTGTGAGCCAAAACACTTCGCTCTTTCAAAGCGAATTGAAATTCAATTTATAAATATATTTTGAATCGCGGCGAAATGAATTAAAGTGACTAAGGGCCGTTTGCACCATGTCTAGTTAATTCTAACTCCCAGTTAAACATCTTTATCGACG